CGAGCCAAATCTGGAATCGATGGAAACATTTGTGGAGCGGCCATTCAGATGGCTTTGAAGAGATTTCACTGGTCTCAGCGTGTCGATCGATAAGTACTTCTCGCGGATTGATAGTGTTTTCACTATGTGAAAGAGGCAAACTACTTTATGTAAGAACCCCTCACGAGTATATAGGTTATTAATTATTTTTAGTGTCAGGGGTTTTCCAGTTATAATTATATTTCAACCTGCAACCTGCGCCCTGCAAAATATACCTGCCGAGAATTATTGCCCTTGTTTCTGAAAGTTGTGAAGCAAATTCACCCACTGATTACAAAAACAAAACCTACATCTTCTGACCTTCCTGCATCTTGAGACCTTGACGTGCAGTCCTAAGTTACAGACAGTCTTCTGAACACTGATCTTGCACACCAGTATTCGTGCAAATTGATGGATAGCAAAATCATGTTGACAGAAATAACTAAGCTTAAACCAAGGGGACATCTACATGATTTCATATCATCATTGCCAAGATAATAGTTGTACAAAATTGTGCATCAATGATGGAAAAACGCAGAATTAAGGGTGTCTGAAATATAATTTAGTTACCTATAATGATCCCTTGTAGGAAACTGAGTTGTGCCAATGCTGTGCTCCAAATTCAGGGGTTTCATTAACATTTTCAGCAGGAGGGCAACCAGTTTTCACAGGTGGGAAAAAGTATTAGAACTGAACTTCTTTGTATGAAAAACTCTCTGCTAGATGGTCAAACCAGCCACGCAAAATTGTCCTCACAGCTGCTCAATTTGCCCGGTGCCCAGCCGTTAATGAAACCCCTACAAATTGCTGGAAAACCCATCTCTACAAATTCAATTTTTTTCTGCGGGGCAAGCCACTGGACTACTGTTACAGACCTTATTGAAACCTCTGTCCAAATCAAATCAGAAGAAATGATAACCACTACAAGAATGTTTTCTTGTTGTGTTGATTTAAAAAAGATCCTTCCATTTTATTTTAATCACTTTCTTGGGACCGGATGGGAACGCTACTTGAAACTGAATGTTTTTTGGAATGCAAGTTGCTATCCAATATATGACATTAAGTACACTGTAATAAGTATTGTAAGGTACCCTACAGTATATGTTTAGTTGTGTATTACTTGCTAAATCTATTTCTATAGAAAAAAAAACAATATTAACCAAATACAGCACTAAAGTGGTCATAAGAAAGAGTTCTAGTGACTAACAAAATTCACAGATTTGCTGCAGATCACCATACGTTATGAGTGTATTTAGTCAAACAAACAACTTGTATATCCTCAGAAGCTTTTAAGCACTGTTAGTCATTAGGGTGGCTACTTTTTTGCATGAAGGCTGAAGATAGCATTTTACTGTTACTATATGTGGCTACCAGTACCTGCTGAGCACTACCAAAAGAAGTTGATAGCTTGGCACGTAAAATCTTGTCTGTGTTTCCCTCTGCAAGCTGATGACTGCTATTGCTTCCCCAGACAAACACTTCATCACCGGAGGTTGGCTTAAATGTAGCACCATTCAATGCAGTGTATGTTGCACCTGATTTTTCACAGGAATTTTTGTAGTCCTTGGACAACATAACAATCTAAAAATAATAAGAAGAACATAAATGCAAACATACATACATTGAGCTCACGGAGAAGCTCACTCCGGAGATCTTAACAGTGAAAACCTATTTATTGCAATAAGCTCTTAAGTTGCTCATGAACTAAAAAAAACTATTTCCTAGTTTCTATCAACTTATAAAATCTGGAACACATGGAATGTTAGGGAGAATAAGAAATGCGGTAAAGAGACAAGGTCCTGGTATGTGTTTCTACATTATTTTTTTTAAGTCTTTAAAATGTCCTGAGTTTTTCTATATATATGTAACAACATTAGATTATGAGATTTTGATTTCAATAAGGTGATAGCTGACGATTCACCACTATCACCATAGTGATACTTGATTACAGAGGCAGCATAGCAGAATGCTTAGCACACTGGAATAGCAATCCAGAGGCTCCAGGTTTGAGTTCCGCTTAGACCACTACCTGAATTTGTTTCACGGTAAAACCGATTTCAAATCCTCAGCCACTTGTCACCTACATGCTGGCTTACTGAACAACATATCATCATTACCCATCACCTACGTGTGTGTTTACTGAATAACACGTCATCATTACCCACCATCTATGTGTCTGTTTACTGGATAACACGTCATGATTACCCACCATCTATGTGTGTGTTTACTGGATAAAACGTCATCATTACCCACCATCTATGTGTGTGCTAACCGGATAAAACGTCATCATTACCCACCATCTATGTGTGTGTTTACTGGATAACACGTCATCATTACCCACCATCTATGTGTGTGCTTACTGGATAACACGTCATCATTATCCATCATCTATTTGTGTGCTTCCTGGATAAAACGTCATCATTACCCATCACCTACGTGTGTGCTTTCTGGTGAACATATCATATTACCCATCATCTATGTGTGTGTTTACTGGATAACACATCATCATTACCCATCATCTCAGTGTGTGTTTGCTGGATAACACATCATCATTACCCATCATCTGAGTGTGTGTTTACTGGATAACACATCATTATTACCCATCATCTGAGTGTGTGTTTACTGGATAACACGTCATCATTACCCATCATCTATGCGTGTGCTTACTGGATAACACGTCATCATTACCCATCATCTGAGTGTGTGTTTACTGGGTAACACGTCATCATTACCCATCATCTGAGTGTGTGTTTACTGGATAACACATCATCATTACCCATCATCTGAGTGTGTGCTTA